AAAAAAAAAAAAAAGAGGAAAAAATATATATATATTCATCTTTTATAACTGTATGTATAATTTACACAGATTTTTCTTAAAAAAAAATATTGATTTTTTTTATTTCCTAATTTCCCATCAAAAGAAAAGAACATAATAAAAATAAAAAAAATATTTGTTTTACTTGGCAAAAATTCACGGGGGATTCAGTAAACAAATCAACTGTTATTATAAACCTTGTTAAATAAATATTCAGGTCATATTACAGAAAATTTGATTAATTATGATACCGATCTGAATCTAATATAGCTATCTAGTAAGCCAAAATTTCATGTCAATTTTCTTTCTTATCTCACATTTCCAAATTTCCTAAAATTCTTAAAATTTTGTGCATGTGCAAAAATCATACTTATAGATTTACTTAGTCATATGCATTTAATTAGGTTATTTTAAAGAAAATTAAATAATAATAATAATAATAATAAATATTGCACAAATCTACATATACTATTTTACATAATTTTAAGAACCCAACATGTATTTTATATAAACCTGACTTTACATGTAAAATAAATTTATATAAAACTATATAAATTTTTTTTTTTAAATTCAAATAAGATTTTATGTATTTTTTATATTAGTATTATATTTAGCAAATTTATTATTGTTTATTTGAAATATTATGATTATATTTTACTATAGCTAATAAATTTTACTATTAGCTAATAATTATCTAAATGATATTGAACTAAAATCTTTATTATTACATTTATTATCCTATTAAAAAATTATATTTATAAAAAAATAGAGTAAATTTATTCATCGCACGTGCGATGCATCGCCACTTTCCTTTTTTGTAAATTATTTATGTTGATCAACCTGCTTATACATCGCCACCCCCCTTAAAATGGCAATGATAAACATAAAAATTTGCATCGCACGTGCGATAAATAAATTATTTCAATATAATAAATCACTTACCATCTAAAATATTTGGATAATTTTTTAAATAAAGAATTTAGTTAGTTTAAATTATATGTAAATATTATATAATAGAATTAAATAAATAGCTTACTTTCTATATTATTTAAATAATTTTTTAAATAAAGAATTTAGTTAGTTTAAATTATATGTAAATATTGTATAAATATAATAAATTACTTACCATCTATAATATTTAAATAATTTTTTAAATAAAGAATTTAGTTAGTTTAAATTATATATAAATATTATATAAATATAATAAATTACTTACCATCTAAAAATTTAAATAATTTTTTAAATAAGAATTTAGTTAGTTTAAATTATATATAAATATTATATTAAATAATATAATGAATTAAATAAATAACTTACACCCTGTAGCATTGTTAATTAATAATAATTTTTAAGTAAAGTAATTATAATCAATTAGATAAAATATTATAATTGTATAAAAATTAAATATATACAGTAACTTACAATCTAATTATTTAAATAAATAATTATTAGTTTAAATTATATATAAATATTGTTAAATTAATATAAAATTAATTAAATACTTACTTTCTATAATATCAGTGATTATTAAACAACCATATTATTAAATG